TTGAATAAAGTCAGTGTAAATAATAAAAGGTAAATATGGAAAAGAAAACTACTACAGGATTGGGTGGGATCTGGCACGATGGCTCAACTGGCTTATCCTCTAACTATAAGCTGGCATCACATTTGGGTGCTGGCTCAAGTCCTGGCTGTTTCACTTCCCATCCAGCTCACTGTTTGTGGCCTGGGAAAGCAGCAGAGGACCACCCAAGGCCTTGCGACCCTGCACCCATGTGGGAGTCTTGGAAGAAACTCGTGGCTTCAGATTGGCTTTGCTCCGGCTGTTGTGATCTTTTGGGGAGTCAGCCAGCAGGTGCTAGATCTTTTTGTCTCTCCTTCTCTGAAAAAATCTGCCTTTCCAATAAAAATAAACAAATAATAATAATAAAGAAAACCAGTACTTACTATCAACAAATTTATATGAGGAATTCCTACATGCTTTGCTAAAAGACAATCTGATTCAAGAAGGATGCCAATCATCTCTCAAGCCTTAAGGCCTCAGACTTCTTTTAACTCTCAGGTTCCTGAACATCCAATGTACTCCACAAAGTCGAGCATCCTCTGCGCACACAGCACTGCTTAGAGAAGTACCTGCTAGGGACTCTGAGCCAATTATATTCCTCAAAATAAGACTCAGCTGCAGAAAATAAAAGCACTTACTCAAATAAATCTGCTAAACCCTTATGTGTGTCTCCATTTTGGAACTACAGCAGTGTGCCTTAGTTATGGAACTTATATCACTGAGGTAAGTTTGTTGTGTTTTTGATCATGACAACATACTTGTGTGGTGAAAATCTTTCTTGTTTTTCAGAAACACCCAGTCACATTCTTGGAATGCACCTTCAAAATGTGAGGGTGTGCAAAATTTCATAACTTTTAGATTTTAAGTATCATCTTAGATAATCCACACGATTAACCTTCTAAAACAGCTATGTAGCATTCAAGACACTACTTCAAAAAACCCTTTTGCTGGCTAAGCAAGTGACTGACACACAAATCATTTGTTTTTTCCAGAGATTGTTACTGCAAGAAAACACATTCCAGTTAGGACACTGAGCTGATTCTGCACAGTACGACACTGTAATTCAAACCCGAGTGTCGGAGTAACACAGCATATAATGAGCTTGACTAACCCAAAACGACACCTATAATCTAAGGCACACACTTTAATAACAGTTCTTACGAAAAGAAAGTTTAATAGCTATGTCTGTATTGCTGGTTTTTTGCTTTCTGCGCCAGTTATCAAAATCTGACTGAAAGAGACCCGTTCCAACAGAGCCATTCCGTAGGCCTATTCCGGACTGCAGCGACTGCCACGGCTCAGGATCCAACCTGAGAACAAAACACCCCCATGACTGCCCATCAGTTAAAACCCCTTTTGGAACTTTCAGAAAATCTATGAAAACACACACACACAGAAGCTGGAAGGTGGGCGTATAAGTACCGTGAGCATTCAGAAGTGTAAATACAATCATCACTGTAATAGTGTTTATCTGCACTCGGCAAAGTGTGAGAAAGGTAGAGGTGTCAATCATCAGAAAAGAGCTTTCAAATTAAAAACGTCTTGATTTCGAAAAGATTTAAACTATCCACAAAGTTGCAGCCTCCCTGACTATCCTGTGACATGCGTTTCCCACTGGAGCTGTACTGAGGAGCAGCCTTAATGCCAGGCAGGCTGAAGAGCTGCAGTGCCAATCAACAGGACCAGGACACAAAAGGACCTGAAAGATCAGCTTATTTTAGTGCAAAGATAAATCAAAATCCATGCACAGAGGGTCTTCCAAAGGTTCATAAAATGTGGATTACATTTCCGAAGTTTTTGGTACCAAAATAAGCTTAGCTCTGAACTGTTTTCCCTGAGCTCTCGGAACGAGACCTGTGAACCTCTCACACGTTCAGAAGACAAACAGTTAAGCATGGTAAGCAGCAGCAGGAGCGGGCCTTTAGCCTAGTAATGCAATTTCCAAGTGCCTGAGTCGATTCTTTGCTTCAGCTCCACTCCAGCATGCTGCCAAGGCAGACCCTGGGGGAAAGCAGTGACAGCTCAAGGAACTGTGGGCATTTATGGAGTGAACCAGACAGTTGTCTGATGTTTATTTCTCCAATAAATCCTTTTTTAAAAAGGCAGGAAAGCAGTCAGCACAGTTACTACATTTGAAAAATCCCTCAGTAAAAAGTTCGACATGGGCCCAGTGGCGTGGCCTAGCAGCTGAAGTCCTCACCTTGCATGTGCCAGGATTCCATACGGGCACAGATTCTAATCCCAGCAGCTCCACTTCCCATCCAGCTCCCTGCTTGTGGCCTGGGAAAGCAGTCAAGGACAGCCCAGAGCCTTGGGACCCTGCACCCGTGTGGGAGACCCAGAAAAGTTCCTGGCTTTTGGCTTCAGATTGACGCAGCACTGGCTGTTGCAGTCACTTGGGGAGTGACTCAGTGGACGGAAGATATTTCTCTCTGTCTCTCCTTCTCGCAACATATCTGACTTTGCAATAAAAAAAAAGTTAAAAAAAAAAAGCTTCGCACAACAAAATTCAATCATTTGAAAGCTGTGATCTGTGAAGCATTCAAAGTGTTGTTTTAGCCCCTACCTAATATTTTTAAGTGTCTATAATTACAAATCTGTGATTTCTTTAATGAACTAATTTTATATTAACTGAGCCCCTATGACTACAGAAAAATGAAGAAGAAAAGTCGTATGAATTCTGGTCTAAAGATACGTTAAGAGTCTAGAAGAGACGAGTTCCACTTGAATGACAGTAAAGAACAGAAGAATATAGCTGAAATTCCAAGGCAGTCAGACATGAACTGTGGTCTAAGAAGGGGAAGAAGTTAAAGACGCCAGTTACAGAGGGTACTGCTGGCACAGCCGAAGGACAGGTGGGATTCAGAGACAACTATAAGAAGAAAACATCGTTTAATTTGCAGAAAGGCAGAAAATTGCAAAATACTAAAGGACGATATAGAATCTTCAGGCTCTGCAAGCTGAAATATTCAGGCCAGATCCCATCCTCAACGACAACATCTATTACATTACACACTCCATGAAGCTCTATAAATACATCTAAATTAGTGACCCGTGAGCCCTGATTGTACAGCCTGATGGGATGAGATGGTGGGACAAGTTTTCATTCAAGCCGTAATTATGACATAGATTCCCTGAAGGCGACCAGTCATGTTTTGGGAGCAGATACCCAACGCGAGGCGCGGACAAGGCCTTCGCTCTGCTCTTGGCACCCACAGTGGTGCTCTTGCATTATTTTGACATTCACATGCAAAAGCCACGTTGTTCCATTGCCGGTGACAAGATCAAAGTCTTCTGACCCAACTCTGCAATGCCGTGCCAGTGGCCTCAGATCTCCATGTCCCGGTAGGGAGAACCTGGAATGGGAAATCTGAAAGGAGGTTCCAGCTTTAAAAGTCTACACTCTGCGAGTTCTCCATCTTCTCCACTGCACGCCACTCTAACAACCAGAAGAGCTATTCTGTCTCCATACTATTACAAAACCACTCTTATAAAACAGCTGCTCAGCACTGGGCTGCTTTTATTAAGACTCCTCATCACCCTGACAAGCAGGCAGTTTTCTTCATGGTCCGGGACAGTGTATCCACCCTCCCTCACCTCTCCAGTCCCGACAAAGGGGAAGGTCAGAATCCACATCAGGATCCAACTCCAAGGCGTGCTCTAAGAAACCGCTCCTTGTGCATGATGTCTCAAACACCAATTCCAGACAAGAGAAATGAGTGGAAGGCAAAAGTGGGCAGTGACGATGGAAATCAAGGCAAGAAAACAGTCCTAACAATAGTGTTCACTGCCTTGCCTTGCCTGCCTCCATTTACCACGTGAGAATGGATAAGTGAAGTTAAAGAGTGTGTGTGTGTGTGTGTGTGTGTGTGTGTGTGTGAGACAGAGGGAGGAATGCGAAACAAAGTGACAGAGGGAGAGATTAGATTTTCAAATAAAGGAAAAAGATTCATTAACTTTCAACTTCGGCTTTAAGCAGTCTAACCTAGATACGCAGCCCACTTTAACAGAATTATATAAATTTCCTAAATTCCCGAGGAAGAACTGAAGTCTGGGCACACGTTGACTGAATACTGGCCCTCAGACCTGGGTCAAGTGCGCCCACCTCTCTGTGCCTCACTTCTTCATTTGTAAAAGAGGCTGCCCACCTCGCAGGGTAGTTGAGGATTAAAGGAGAATGTGGAAGCAGCAGCTCGCTGGGGCGGAGGACCTGGCCGGCACCAGGTGAGCGCTGCAGCAATGAAAGCTGCCCTCCCTCCTCCCGGGAAGCCAGCCATCACAGCCGTCTATCATCCACTTTATCACTTCTCTCGCCTTATCCTCAAACAAAAATCTCTCCAAAGAGTCACACACACACTTATTTCCAAGAGAATCAAACTTCAAAACAGCTCCATCTTAAAACCTAAAGGAACAAGCGCTACTTTCTGTAGCTAACATGTCCAATCAATGTCCTTAGAATCCTGCCACTACGGGTTTAGTTAGACGGGAAGCGAGAGGTGTGCTTCCAAAGTGGACGGAGCGCCGAAGGAAGACGGTGGACACGCGACAAACACCTGGACGGGGCCCGGAAAGCTGGGTGTGCACCAACCCGCCCCCGGCAGGACGAGCGCCCTCCCAGCTGACGGGACAGGAGCAGGTGGCTTTGTGCCTCCACAGAATATCGTTTTATTCTTGGCCACAAGCTCTCGCCAGCAGCTGGGTTTTAAAGCCCTGCAGTCTTGCCGACCCCACCACGCCCCGCTTTCACACCGGAGGGAGGCAGCAGGACCTGAGCTTCCTCTGTGGCCAGCGGAGGGGAAGGAGGGCCGGCCCAGGTCCCGTCCCTTCCCGGGCCGGCTCGCTCAGTCGGCGGGGCCTGCGGGGCCCCGGGGCGCGGCCGGAGGAGGACAGGCTGCACACGTGGACCCCCACGCGCGGCGCTGACCGCCAGGCGCCCCGCCCGGACCCCCTCGGCAAGCCCGGAACCCCGCGGCTCCTCTCACCGTCTCGGCTTCTGTATGCTGAGGTCCGGCACTCTGACCCCCCATCACCCCGCGGAGGAAATTCATCTTGCCGCTCAGCCACCCGGCTTTACACAGTCTCTTCGGGGAAGAAAGGAAGACTACTTGTGCCGCCCTCCGCAGGGCCTGCTTCCCGAGCCGGCACGCTGCACTCCCCGGCCGCCACCTCCTCGGCGGCCGCTCTGCCCCCTAAGCCCGGAAACAGCCGCCACCGCCGGCCGCGATGCGCATGCGCGGAGACGTGGCATTACGTGGCGGCTCGAAGGGCGAAGGCAAAAGGGGAGCGGAGAGCAGACGCTCGGCCGAGCCAGGGGTCCGCCTAGGCCCCGCCCCTGCGCAGGTCCCGCCCCTCGTAGGCCCCGCCCCGTCGGCCCGGCCCCGCCCGCCCCGCTCCCGCCCTCCGCCGACCGAGCCTGCTGGCCGCAGCCACCCACGTGGTCCGAGCCCGGCCCTGCCCGCAGGAGAGGGTCGAATTGGATTCCAGCGTTTTGGCTTGCCGGGTGTTTAATCGTTGCCGAGCGCCGCTTGCAGCCAGCTACCCGCTCTGAGGGTTTATTTCGTCGATTCGACAGTGAGATTGTCCTTCGGCCTGCGTGACAGGTAAGGGGGTGCCGTTCTCCGGGAGTTCTCGTTTGGGTTTTTTTCGGCGTACCGGAACGAACCTGGTGGCCTTCTGATCCGCGTCAGCTGCATTTCTTTGCAGGGCTTTGTTTGATGGCAGGCAGGGTGCTTAGAGAACCCCCTCACTCCACTGCCGCCGGAGGGCGCGTTTCTCAGCTCTCGTTCAAACCTGCTCCGAGGAATTCCTAGACCTTAACATCAGGTATACCGCTGTTTGCCAAGGACCGAGGAGAAAAACCCCTGGAGCCCCGTATCTGTAAATCAGAAATTAGCAGTGAATTGCTCTTGCGTTTCTGGTGTTCTTAGAAACGTGCCAAATGTCATTTGGTTTTTGAAAGCGATATTGCCTGTTCCTTCCCCAGTGAGGTTGCCAGGTGGTGCACATGCTTCTAGAACAGTCTTGTCGATTCCCCGGGACTGAAAAGCGAAAGCGCAGGATCTGGTCAGCTAACTGACTCATACCGCTCAGCACTTGGCCTGCTTGGGTCTCAGGTGCAAGATTTCAGAATTGAACTCTGTCTTCTTCCCAGCCTGCCTTTTACAGAAAAAAAATATGTATCAGTAGGCTGCGTCCACTCTGTCCTGCCGTGCTCAATAGGACCAGATTGCCTAAGGCAGGAGGCGGAAGCTGGGAAGAGCGGGACTTCCATCTCCTCGTGTCCAGCCCACGGTCAGGTGTGCCTATGAATGCGCTGTGTCTCAGTAGGTCTTCTGCCGTGCGTCTGCCTGTGACGGAGCCGATGCTGGTTGGGAATGCGGCTGTGGCCTCCCCGCTGGTTTGTGTGCCTTCCGTCCTGGGCTTCGCTCCACTGTGGTCTCCAGTGTTCCCCTGCGTGAGCCCAACAACAACCCGACATCTGTTGGTGTCACTCCTGGTCTAAAGCTTCTCTGGTGGCTTGCCCTTCCATCTGGTAAAATACGAGCTGCCTTTGTTTGGTATCCAGGCCTCTTAGGGCCTGACTTTCTGTCTACCTTTGCAGCCCCTCACAGACACAGGGCATTTTTCTCCTGCCTCCCTCTTTAACAGGCAAACACCTGCTAGCTCCTTAAGACTCACCTGTGACCTCATGTCCTGAAAACTGGCCCTGAAATGCAGGTGCGCATCTGTATGTTAGCACTTTGTAGCTATTGATTTATTGTGGGCACTCCATACTTGCTTCGAACACACTAAATGGGTATTGGCAGGGCCGTGTTGTGTTTTTAGGATCTCTGTGGCTTAGTGCTAATGGTGTTGATGGATAAGTGAAGAAAACATGGTATCGGTGGTATTGATGGATATTGATGGATAAGTGAGAAAATCATGGCAAACATCTATGGCTGTTATGCTGAGTAGGTCAATTTCCTCTCTGTAAATCTGTAGAGAGCAGGTTGTCACAGAGGCTATGGTGAAAGTTCATTTCCTGGTGCCAAGATTTCAAGCCTGGGAGACTTGTTGATAGGTCAGGATGATCCTGCCAAGAAATACTGTGTGCTAAGCTTTGTCTTTTGCGTTAAAACTAGACACTTGACACCTTGCTTCAGACATTTTCCGTGGGGGCATTTTGTTGCAGCCTAAAAAAAGTAACCGATAAACACTCATCATTTTTATTGGCAAGAAATGGGTACAAAGAAGTTCCCACAGTTCCTCACCCCTCTGGGCCTCACCATCATCAGGGAGAGACCATAGCCTGGAGTGGGGCTCACGATGGCTGTCACGCCAGCGGTTTAGTAGTGAAGCACAGTATATTGGCACTTTTGCAGAGCTGTGGTCAGGCACGTTGGTCTTGTCAGAATGTCTTGTTTTAAGCTTTGGTGATTGCAATAGTGACAGCTAGCCTTAAGTGTCCCTTTCATTTGACCTGTTTTCCTGACCAGCGTTTCCTGGTCAGGAGGGACTTTGGGCAAGAGGAGTAGACAGTCAGGAGCAGAGGCGTTGGGGTGGCGTTGTCCCCGCTCCCTGACCTCAAGGGTTGCCTGCCTTCTGGTGTCTGAAAACAGGTGCAGCTTCCCTCTCGCCTTCTCAGGAGGCCGATGGCTTGGGGTGACTGATCCCCAGGGAGGGCCTTGAAGAGGAGTGGAGGCATTGTCAGCACAGAACAACCCTGATGCAGACTCCTTGTTTCTGAGAAAGAGTGTATGTGACTCCTGGTTTGTACAGAGCCGCGTTCCGGATGATGGCTCATTACTGCTTGTACCCTTTGATCATCTAGCGTAATTCCGTAATTCCTTTAACCTGGTAATTGCTGAAGAACCATTTGTTAAGTAAACAAGGGAAGTGGCAACAGGAAAAAGCTGTGCCTGTCCAACTTACACTTCAACTTTCATACATAAATTTAGAATAAGAATGACATGAATCATTAAAATGCATACGATGCAAAACTGAGTAAGAAGGAATTTTTCAAATTTTTCTAAATTTCTCAGTTTGTCAAACCCCAGCTGAAACAGAGCAAATGAACAGAATTCATTGGTGTGAGATCTATTACTTAAAAATTGCTTCGTTCCGATGACCCACCTTTCCCATCCTTCTTTCTTTGTAGTGGAAAATTCAGCAAGAACAATGAAGTCAAGTGCTTGCTACCTGTAACAGCCCAGTGTAAGGTGAATGGTGTGGCCAGCTCAGATTTTCCCGCGGGGAAACAGGGGAAAAGTCGCTTGATCAGGGTCACAGGGCTCAGAGGTGGCGGTCAGGCACAGCAGTTGACGGTGTGACGCCAGCCTGGGCTCCTTTGTGCAGTGTTGTCCTTGCTTCCTAGACTTTAAAGGATGTGTGATCAAGGGAAAGGTCGCCTACAGGTGCCTACTGGGTGTGGCTCTGTTCTCTCCTTGACCACATCTCCAACCACTGCATTCTCACTTCCTCTCCAGCCACACCAGCTTCTTTCCTGTTCCTGTTCTGTTCCTGAGATGTATTCCCCTGTCCCGCCCCACCCCAGGGTGTCTTCACTAGGTGCCTTGCTCCTCCATCCACAAAGAGGTTTGGCTCGCTCCACCCTCTACTTCACTCTTTCCTGTGTGTCTTTAAGTTACTGCGGCCTCCTGCTCCTCGTTCTCTGGCTCTGCTGCTTTTTTCTCCAGTGCACATCCCTGATACATTGTTCTCTCAGCTGCACTGCCTGAACGTATTTCATTAGGTCTACTGTGCCATCGGGTGTACCTTCAAGAAGGTAAGGAAAAGAAGCCCTGCCAATTCTAAGAGGCCCTCTGCCAAAAGATGCGTCCCAATTTCAGGTTTCATGAAATTGAGGGAAAACAGTGCATGGTAGGATGCATGAAACTCACAGGAAAAACTTTGCATGTTTATTTTGGTTGTTGCCTTTCGCCTCCCACTAGAATGCTAAACACATCAAAACAAGGATCTTAGTCCTTTTGTAAGTTGCCTTGTGGGTGTTGCCTAGCACAGTATGTGACACATAATAACACTTGGTAACTTTAATGGATGACTGAGTTCTGTAAATGAGGAAGTTCTCACTCACCACTTAGCACAAAGGATAGATGTTCTGCATGGTGGTGAAGCATTCTGTGGTGGCCGGACTTCCCAGTGGAGTCTGAATCCAAGTCCTTAGAACAGCTCTTTAGGGTGCTCATGGGTGCTGGCACTGTGGTACAGGGCTGCTGCCTGTGGCACTGACATTCCTTATGGGCACTCGTTCAAGTCCTGATACTTTACTCCTGATCCAGCAAGCTGCTTGCTGATGCGTGGGGGAAAGCAACAGAAGATGGCCCACGTGTACGGGCCCTTGCATCCATGTGGGAAGCCCAGAAGGAAGCTACTGGCTTCAGACCAGCCGCTCTCTGGCTGTTGTGGCCATCTGAGGAGGGAATTAGAGGATGGAAGATCTCGCCATCTTCCCTCTGTCTTTCCCTCTTTGTCTCTCCCTCTCGCTCTGTAAGTCTGCTTTTCAAATAAATACCCCCTTTTTTCTCATAATGAAATCATAAATAATTTTTTTATGGGTAAGGCAATTAGTTCCATATTATTTCCTTAATAAAGCTGATGTAAAAGGAGATTTTAAGGGAGAAGCCCCACCCAGTCTCCCACCCACCCCAGGTCCCAGGTATGCCCCGCGCCCCTTTTTAAGCTGCTCATGTTGGTTGTTGCTCATATTGGTTGGTAGGGATATTTTGATAGTCTTTAGATTGTTCAGTAATTTTCAATTACAGGTGAAGCTAAACATGTCTGGGAGAAATGATCTAACATTTTTAGAGTCTCTCTGTTTTTTTTTTAAAGATTTATTTATTTGTATTGGAAAGTCAGATCTACAGAGAGGAAGACCTTCTGTCTACTGATTCAATCCACAAGCAGCCACAATGGCTGGAGCTGCACTAATCTGAAGCCAGGAGCTGGGAGCCTCTTCCAGGTCTCCCAAACAGGTGCAGGGTCCCAAGGCTTTGAGCCATCCTCGACTGCTTTCTCAGGCCACAGGCAGGGAGCTGGATGGGAGGCGGGACCACCAGGATTAGAACTGGTGCCCATATGGGATCCCGGCATGTACAAGGTGAGGACTTTAGCCACTAGGACCCAATACCGGACCCTTAAGTGGTTGTTTTAAGGATATCACTAGATAGATCTTTATTGTTCAAGGTGCTTAGCACTCGAAACACTAAGAACTCGGTGTAAGTTAGAGAGGAGACCCAATTTATCTGTGTGTATCTTCAGTTACTTCT